ACCATAAACGTTATGGTGCCAATGCCAAAAATGCACTCGACCTTGCACCTTCGAGGCTAACCAGGCGGGAAACGTGTGAGCCAGCACGTGACGGCGACTAACGTCGCTGGCGAGCCACTTCCATGTCGCCTCTTCTTCGTCACTGATCGACATTCTGGGATACGCTTCCTAGTTGACACTGGGGCAGAAGCTAGCGTCATCCCACCTACGAAGGAAGAGCGTCTGCGGCCAATGTCTCTGCAACTTCGTGCCGCCAACGGTTCGCCCATCACAACCTATGGTCGGAGATTCCTCGATCTCAACCTTGGATTGCGTCGTCCCTTTCGTTGGGTTTTCATAGTGGCGGATGTGACCACCGGCATTATTGGTATGGATCTCTTGCAGCACTATCAGCTGCTGGTAGATGCTGGCAAGCATAAGTTGATAGATTCTACCACAACACTCTCTGTTTCCGGTATAGTCACAAAGACGCCGCCCCTCAGTCCCGTGTACTGCACGACGGACGCTTCTAGTCCCTACGCGTCTATCATTCAGTCCTTTCCGGATGTCTTTAAGCCAAGTCGTTGTGTCCCTTGTGTGACTTCGAACGTTTCTCATCACATAACGACGACTGGCCCGCCAGTGTTTGCGAAACCACGGCGATTATCCCCGGAGAAACTGCGTGCTGTAAAAGCCGAGTTTGAACACATGCTTGAAATGGGAATAATCAGACCATCCAACAGTCCATGGTCTTCACCCTTGCATGTGGTACCCAAGAACAATGGCATGGACTGGAGGCCTTGTGGTGACTACCGAAGGCTCAACGCTAAAACGATTCCAGATCGTTACCCAGTCCCTCACATTCACGACTTGACTGCATCTTTAAAAGGCTCGGTTATCTTCAGTAAGCTTGACTTGACGCGTGCATATCATCAGATCCCGGTTCATCCTGATGATGTTCCCAAGACAGCCGTCATTACACCGTTTGGTCTTTTTGAGTTCCTCCGTATGCCTTTTGGTCTTCGCAATGCAGCACAAACCTTCCAACGTTTTATTCACGATGTTTTACGTGGACTCGAATTCGCCTATGCCTACCTAGACGATATACTAATCGCTAGTCCAGACGAAGACACTCATTTTAACCACTTGAAACAGGTTTTCGCCAGACTGTCAGAGCATTCGATGACAGTCAACCTGGCCAAATGCCAGATTGGCGTTCGTTCACTAAAATTTTTGGGACACGTTATCGACGAGCAAGGCATTCGCCCACTACCTGAAAAGGTACAGGCGATCCAAGACTTCCCAGTCCCAGCGTCACTTAAAGCTCTGCGTGTGTTTCTGGGTATGGTGAGCTATTATCGTCGCTTCGTTCCCCAATGTGCGCACATTTTGACTGCACTGACCGACCTGCTGAAAAGTAAGTGTAAAACTTTCAGCTTGACTCCGGAGGCACTAGAAGCATTTCGCAAGATCAAAACCGCAATAGCAGACGCCACGATGCTGGTGCATCAAGACGTAAACCTACCTCTTAGCATTGCGGTTGACGCCTCTAACACGGCCATTGGAGCTGTGTTGCAACAACTTTCGGATCACACTTGGATCCCAGTTGCATTCTTCTCCCGGAAGTTATCCACCTGCGAAATGCGGTACAGCACTTTTGGCAGGGAACTGCTCGCCATATATGCCTCAGTGAAACATTTTCGTCATTTTGTGGAAGGTCGTGACTTCATCATCTTTACCGACCATAAACCTCTGACGTATGCCTTACACACCACTACTGACAGATATTCACCGCGTGAATTACGTCACCTAGACTATATTTCGCAATTCACGTCGGACATCCGTCATATTTCTGGTGTGAATAACCCTGTCGCGGACGCACTGTCTCGCGTTTGCACCACTACTTTGCCTCGAGCAGTCGACTTACGGAAGATTGCCGAACTTCAGGATTCAGACGAGGAGATTGAAAAACTTCAACACTCATCCTCTCTGAAGATACAGCGTTTACCGCTCCTGAACAGTGAAGTGTCAATATTGTGCGACACCTCCACAGGCACACCCAGACCGGTTGTTCCTTTACCCTTGCGTAAGCATGTTTTTGATGCTTTGCACAATCTTTCACATCCTGGCATCCGTGCCACTGACAAACTCATATCTGCTAGGTTTGTTTGGCCTGGTATTAACCGTGATGTTCGAAACTGGACACGGTCATGTATTCAGTGCCAACGTTCCAAGGTGAATCGTCACAACATCCCACCACTTGGAACTTTCGCCAAACCGGACTCACGATTCGCTCATGTCCACTTAGACATTGTCGGCCCACTTCCACCCTCCGATGGATATAGTTACCTACTGACATGTGTCGATAGGTTTACTCGCTGGCCGTTAGCCATCCCATTGTCTAACATTACTGCCGAAACAGTAAGTCGGGTCTTCGTCGAAGGATGGGTTTCACAGTTTGGATGCCCTTCCACCGTGACAACCGACAGAGGCCAACAGTTCGAATCCGCTACCTTCCAGAAGCTGATGAATCTGTTGGGATGCAAACGCATCCGCACTACCGCATATCATCCAGCTTCCAATGGTTTGGTGGAGCGATTCCACCGACACCTTAAGAGCGCACTAATGGCAGTCGACAATATGAAATGGACTGAGTCTCTGCCGTTGGTTCTTCTCAGCATTCGTTCTACACTCAAGACGGATATACAGTGTACACCTGCTGAGTTAGTTTACGGTAGTAACTTACGTTTGCCGGGTGAGATGGTCGCTTCAGATTGTAGTGACCCAACTCCTACCGATATCCATGGCTATGCGCAAACTCTTAAGTTACACATGCGTCGCCTCCAACCCCATCCACACGGATACAGTGTAGACGGGTGCAGTTGGATAAAAGACTCCAAGATTGCACTCACGTCTTTGTGCGTTGTGACGGTGTACGTAAACCCTTACAGCCACCATACGACGGACCTTTCAAGGTTCTCAGTAAGAAAGAAAAGTTTTTCGTCATTGACAGATCTGGACGGCAGGATTCTATAAGTGTCGATCGTTTGAAGGCAGCTTATATAGAGGACGACCCACCTTCCTCTACACCGACACAACTAGAAAAACCCTTGCCGCCAGACTCCCAAACAGACTCGTCTAGTCGCGCGTACCCTGAACCTTCTAAAAGAGCCACGTCTAGTTGCACTGATCCAGTACCCTCTACACGTGCTGGGAGGCGTGTACATTGGCCCAAACGATACGCCGATTTCGTTAATTAGCCCCAGCGCAACTTCACACTTGGTAAATTCGGAGTTTCAACTATTTTGTCGTGGCACGCACTATCAATGCGTTTTCATATCTAAAGTTTTTACAAGTCTTGTTCACTACTTTGCAAACAAAGTTTTTTTAAAAAAAAAAAAAAAACCAAAAATACAATTTAAATTTCAAAAATTTTTTTGGTTGGTTATTATTATTTTTTTCTGTACTCCTCCCACTTCGAATTGTTTGGTTTTTCTTTTTTTAGCACTCTAATGTCCTATTTCTTTCTTCTTGCAGAACCTAGAAAATGCGTTGAAAATTGGATACAATTGGCCGCTGACGATGCTACTTGGATCGTTCTTCGGTTCTCTTTGTACCAATTTCCCCCTGTACACTCCCCGGTAGATTAAGAAGCAATAGGGAAAAGTAGACGGAGGCTTTGGGTCACCTTCCACCACTGCGAGAAGGGTTGCGTCTAGACGCAAAGTTCTCTTACCTCGTAGGTGTGCATAGTTGCACTAGCTTCGGAGACCCACACGTCACCTACTCCATCACCAATATGGAAAGGTGTTGCGTGTCCGCCTCGCAGTCGCCTCCTAGGATCGAAGGTTGCCGGTATCCCAACAACCTTCTAGGAGGGGGATAACCTGTAGTGCACCTTCCTGGCACCAAAATATAACTAGGGCTAAAATAAATAGTTTAAATTAAATTAACTAAATAAATCTCTAGCTTGCCTCCGGATGCTTAGGGTGTTTTAAGTTTTGTTTTAACGAGCATGCATCCGAGCAGGCTTGGACGCCATTTTGCGCTCCATTGTGCTGATTACCACACACGTACTCCGAGTCCCTAGTTCAGCCTTACAAGCCAGATAAGTTGATTAAACTTTTCTCCCATTCATTATTATTACATTTACTTTAATTAAATACATAGCTCCTTCAAATACATTGCGTATCAGTTCTTTTGATTTGTGTTTTGTTATCAGTACTTACACGTTAGGTAAAGTACTGGTTAAGCAGGTACTAGAGCACATCAAGTTAAGTAGGGTTGACCAAACGTTACGGAATTGTAACACGCACCCTTACATATTTATGAAAAATGCATACCCAAAAAGATTTGTTGATAAAGTATGCACGAAAAAAGAATTTCTATAACATAGGTCAGAGTAACAACTTTTGATTTTGGAATTCAACTGCAACACTTCAAATAACACTGAAACACCGATTAATTAAAGCCGTTAACTCTACGCATCATTTCTACTGATCATCCAATGGTGAAAACATGTGCAAAGAGCAAATTACCACTGCCAACTGCTTCAGTAAGTGCGTAACACTTCAGCCGCTTCTGTGTAACTAAGCAGATAAGCTGTATACAGATGTAGACTGTTCAACAAAGAAGCAAACACTTTCCGACATGGATAAGGTATAGCCAAAGTTGAAACAATCAAGTCCCATCGGACATTAGAGTCGACAGTTAGGATTTCAGAAGGTCCACTTCATGTAGTCTTCAGAAATTTCAAGCTTCCAAAAGGTATTTGCGAACGTCTATTATGCACTGCTGACGCTTTAGTAATACAGAAGGGGAAGCCAGAATCGTGCTTAAAAGCAAGTTTCCCCTTCACTCCTACTAATCAACTTGAAATTGTTGATCCCCAAATGTAATTAAATCTTCTGATCTTTTGAACTATTGATTCACTGACAAATGCTGACACTTTTTACCGTGAAATGTACACAGTAATGAAATCTGACTGTAAAGTTTTGAGAGTGATACCATCGGAAACGAATTTATTCGCTGAAGTTTTTATTTATATTTTTAAATGGAAATATTCAAATATAATTAATCGGCCTCTCTGTATTGAACAAACGATACAAGCTTCTTAAAAATTATCAAACCAAGAGGTTATTGCACCAACAAATTCCGCGTATCGTGAAATTAACTGTTAGAGCAATCTTCAGATAAGTTATTACAAACAGATGATACTTAAAGCTTACACGGAGATATTTGTGTAAGAATTGATAAAACTTCAAGTTAGTAAAACCAAATAAAGAATAGTAACACGTAGAATAAGATCACAAAACAGCATCATCACATTGCCCATCCCCACAAATCGTAAGACATCACGGTACAGTAAGCAAAGTATATGACCGACCTAGCTGATTATTAGAGTTCACATTCAGGTTCGTTTGAAGGCAAAAAATGTTGATAGAATCCATGTGTCAAGTCAACCATTAAATCTGGTGTACACTCAGGTAGTTCACCAATCAAGCGACCGGGTGAACCACTGAATATGCTAAATGGAGGCACAACTGTCTCAGGTGGCAGTACTGTATTGTCTCTTAATGCACACGCATCTTTTAATACACAACGCCGACCAATGACACAGTTTTTACCAATATGTACATAAGAACCAATTTGTGCTGCATTGACAATAGAATCCTCCTCAATGAAGACGTTGTCCCCTATATGAAGAGGGAAAAATGCGACACCTTTACTAAACTTTTTAAACGGTGGTCGAATAACAGCCTTCCGCCCAATGACACAATGTCGCCCAATACGTATGTTGGCCAGGTCACCTCTTATGATACAATCAGACATAATTATGGTCTTGCCATTTAATACAATGTTTTGACTTCCACAGAGAACAGATTTTCGACTGACTTTGTTTCCACTAGCGGTTTCAATGTATTGTGACTTGGAGTAAAATACATCTTGGAGCTCCATTCGTCTAAAAGAAGTGTTATAATGATCGAAAGGTTAATAGATAGAAATCATCTGAGGTCTTATTGGAAATACTAATATATAGATATCAGATAATAATTAAAACGAGGTTAGCTCCATATTTTCAATACTATGCAAACGAAATCTTATCAAACTAAGAGTAACTGCGGTTATAGTCAGATAATATAAACAACCGCTCTAATTAAACTGGACCATAAAACAGAAAATCAGCAGATGACTAAAGCAAAAGAAGGTATTAAGTACTTTGGTGTGCTTGACAGAACACCACCTGAGCAAAATCAAAAAGTGCATGGGAATAAAATAAAGTAGACAACTATTAAGGAAGTATTCGTTAAATTAGGGTAGAAAATTGATGCGTATTTGTCAATGTAGGCTATAGACAGCGTCTTCATGAGGCAAGACTACATTCCTGATTTATGAGTTGGTCAAATAACAGATCGATCTCTTAGGTGTTTTAGATAAAGAGAGTCAGTTAGTCACTCAAAGTTCAGGACCGACAGGACTAGCTATCTCGTTTACTGATAGACAGATAAATAGACATAAAACATCACAAAGAATTGTATCTTTGTTCAAAAAACTGTAATCTCTTCATATCTTCTACTCTCAACAGCTGCACAACAGGATAGAACGGACTACGGAGCACTATACTCGTTCTTTAATAGGTAGTCGGATATCTCGTCACCACTAGGGATGAAGAAAGTTGGCAAATATCAAACTGGCCTTCCGTATCTGAGCTGGGATTTCTTCAACAACCATCCCATTCGGGTTGATGCAACTTTTCAAGTAATTGAAGTGATCGACACATTCCGGCACTTCACTCCCTACCATTAGACTAGGAGTAGGTGTAGACCAATCCCGGAGGATCATCTTACATTTGACAGGTGGGAGATGCATGCCAAACAAACTCAGATTTCTGTTTAACGTGTTCAAAAGACCCTGTATCTTGTCAGTGTTTTTCGACTGACAAAACAATGTCGTCTGCGTACTTCAAATCAACCAGATGCCCTCCAGCGAGTAGACTAGTTTCTTTGAAGTCAGACGTATCGAAGCTTATGTCCATTAGTGCATCTATAACGAAGCTCAATACGAAGAGTGACAGCGGGGGTTCCTGACGAATACTACTGGTTGTTTTTGGTTTAGATGAGAACTCTCCATATGCCCTTACTTGACTGCGTTAGTTCCAGTAGAGACCTTCGATTAGTGTCATAGACCTCGGTAAGCCCTTCACATTCAGACGCTACTCCAATACCTCAAGGTTGACAGAGTCAAACACCGCAATGAGGCTAAAGAATATGGAACATGACGGCCGCCGGTGGGTATGTCTGTGTTGAAGGACCTGTCGAACGGCGTGAAGGGTGATTGGTGCACTTCCGTTCAGGTTTGAAACCTGCCTGGTTCTCTCGAACTTCAGTTAGGTATGGGATAACAATGGACCTAAGGATCTTCGACACGATTTCTGTTAAACTGATTTCCCTATGGTAGTCACAAGAAGATTTCTCTTCCTCTTTATTGAATGGAATGACCAGTGAAGTAGACCAGTTTGAAGGGACTACCTCTGATTCCCATACACTACCCAGTATCTCGTTACTTTAATCAGTGATTTCCTACCTTTATCCTTAAAGCCTTCGGGTGGCAAACCGTTAGGTCTAGCTGCTTTGCATCGTTTCAGATTAGCAACAGCCTCCGAATACAGCTGGGGGACTGATATATATGTCCCATTCAGGTTCCGGCTGAATGCCGGGGCAGTTGTACTGGGTTTCAAAGTTCCATATTAGATTTATTTGATATAAAGCGCACAGTGATACAGTATTATTACTGTAGTATCACTGTGCGCTTTATATCAAATAAACAAATCTAATATGGAACTACATTCTACCACAGTGCCCAAGTTTTTCACTTATATTAATGGGTTTCAAAGTGTTCCATCCAACTTTCTAGTCGTGGGTCCTGAGAGGTTGTCAGAGTTCCATCGTTTCCAGTGACGGCTTCACTAACCACCATAGTCTTGCCAGTATAATTAATAAGCCTAAGTGGTTATCGCATGTTACCTAATGCTGACGCCTTCTCCATCTCTCTTGCTTTCGCCTCCAACCACTGCTGGCGATCATTTTGAAGACCTTTGGTCAATTTAAGTTTAGGTTACTTTCGCTCTTCATTGTGGTCAGAGCCAGCTGGAATCGGTCTTCTTCCTTATATCAGGTGTAGGTTACCGACTATCTTTACCGCCGTTTCAACAGCAGATTTAATATCACATTAGGTTTCTTCAGGATGAGGATTACTACCACGTTCAGATAAATGCTTAGCTATCTCCTTAAATACTTACTTCACATTCTCATCTTCTATTCGAGTATGCACAAGCCTCACTGTCACCTGTTTTCTGTGACCAGTAAAGCTTAAACATACAACAGCCCGTACTAGAGATTGAGTTGAAACATGTACTGTGGCAATCGTCCACCGATGGCTTGTAGCATTATGATCTGTCTCTATCCATGGTTCGCAGCTTCTGGCTTTGTACATTAGTTTAAAGGTAAATGAAAGCTTTGTGAGTTTACCTTATTTGAATGCTTCGATTATCTTCATCGCACTGCTCCATATTTGCGTGATGCAACATGGCTTTGCCAGACATTCGTTTGTGCTCATATCTTACTGTGATCGTATATTACCAGTAATATGCTGAGCTATCTCACGATATTTCCTACTTAAATCCCTTCAATCAGTTCGTTGAGAAGAGAATTATGTATAGATGATTCTGTTGTTCACACAGAGTAGTGAGATGAAGATTATCTGAAAAACGTGATGTGTTAGCACTATATCTTTTGAGCAGTCCGATAACATATGGACTTGTTGAATAATTTCCACGAAAGTTGAAAACGGGTCTATTTTATCAATGGGAAACATAAAGAATAGGAAGGGAAAAACAAAAATAAAGTCTGAACTACGTCAGACAGACAGACAGACAATAGTAACACAGAACCAAGCATTACTGGATAGTGGTTCAAGCTGCCACATCTTTGAATCACGTCACCCTCAGTACGAGAATTAAAGTCAATACTACCGGGGTAGGTTTAAAGTGAGTACCAATTGTTTTCGTTTGGATAAAAGAGGTTCAAGTTTACAGATTGCCCTCGAATACTTTTATTCAATACTTGAAAGGCACTTTTAATGACTAGTTTTTAGTAGAAGTTTAGCGAAATATGAAGGAGGATATTTTTCATCTGCAATCATGGGATCATTTATCCTCATATCTACGCTGTGAATTCACCGAGGGGAATGCCTGCCTCAGATTCTTTTGTTCTTTGAAAAATGCATAGGTACACCACATAGGTAAGTGGTATGGAAGTTTGGAGTTACTGTGGACATTTCCTACTAATGATCAGTATTTTCAGCTCCAGGTATTAAACTAGGTATCAATCATTGCTGCTGAAACATGACTAAATTTATGCTTTCATTAGCCTGCAATAACCGTAGATAAAAACTTATCACTGTTATTAGCACTCTTGAGGTGACGATTTCAGGTTAGATGGTTTTACTATTTCACAGGACTTGGTAGTAATACATCTGCCATGCAGTAATCGTCTTGGGAAGCTTTAATTGTGCATCTCATCATACTTCCTGACAGTGAAGTTCAGGTGGCGTTCTAGCAACATTACGTCGATTGGATGTTCCTTGCATCCGTCTATTAATTTAAACTTGTCTACAAATAACAGTACTGGTAACTTAAACGCACTGTATAACTCCCTGATAGGTTTTTGGAACGAAGATTATCTAAGTAGTGGTACCACCTAAAAAACCTGATAAATGGAAATTCGACAGTAATCATGATACTAATTACAAATACACTAACAAGATGGAAGTCATAGTTGGAAGCTTCTCCTAAAGTCCATTGCAACTGTCAATACCTGGTCGATGCCCTACAAATATACTTACATGAGATTTCCTTGGCACATACGAATCCTTTCTATGCTACATGTTATGGTATGTACTACACAGACAGACAAAATCAACATATGACCAGACATCACTGCATAACGGTCCAAGTTGCCATACATCATACCCGCACATCAAACGAAAAAAAAATAACATGAAAGGTAAAGAAATAGAGAAGAAAGTAGTCACAGTTGTAAAAGGTCGCGATAAGGAGGAATAAGAAAATACTGAGTTCACTATGACGCTTAAAATCAGGATAACATGTGAATAAATTTGCGCCAGTGAGATAGATTCTGAGCCAAATCACCTAGGGTGTCCAACCACATGGTTTCCGCTGTCACATGGACTCCAACTGCGAAGACTACATTTCTCTACACTAACTTTTATGCTTACCTAAGACAAGTACTGAGTTTGAATCGCTAAAGTGTTAAAGGCCTGTTGAACGACCGACCACTTGAGATGTTTGTCCTTAAGATTTTTCAGAAAAGAAAGAATTGCCAGTTATGCATGACTAAGCATTTCTAATATAATAGGTATAATATAGTTATCTCCATTTCAGTGCTGTCAGATTTAAGTTACAGCACAGAACTTCATGAATCACACTGATTTTAAGACAACACAAAAGAATCTAATGACAAAGCAGACATAATCATGTTTTACAAAAATTTAATGACTTTCAACCGGATTTGGAATCTACCTTCCTTTCTATAAGATTGGAGCACTTCTAAAGGGCGTACGGAAACGAGGACGAATGTTATCAGCGTACAGTACTAGTTTCCGCATAAACTGACCAACTATTGGAATTAACTTCAAGAAGAACTGGTGTACGTGACACTAACTAACCCATTCAAGAAACAACTGGATAAATACGAAAACCTGTTGAAAATATTACAATAAGCAGACAGACAAGATCAACATAGAAATTCGAGCAGGAATGCATCGGTGCAAACTGTCACAGCTCGCAGTAGCATACAAAGAACAAGTGAAACAAGTGATATCAAAGTAGAAAAAAGTGTATGTGAGAAAGAATTTGAGAACCAAGACTAATGGGGATGTCCAAGCTTTAGAAACGTCAAAGAATGAATACATCTGCGCCATTCTGAACGGCTTCCAACCATTTCACCAAGGGTCTCCGACCATTGATTGTTATCGCCCCGAGAACCCCAGCCAGGTAGTCTACACCTCAACACACGGCTCATATCAAAAGTCTAGGACTTCATACACTGATATCACTCGTAGTTCTAGCAACTCTGATACCTACTCCAAACTAATCCAACTTTTCTTAGCATTCCATGTAGAGGTAGGTGGCGGCTTGACATGCCCAACACATTCCCAAGCCACAATAGTCATTGAAGGTTCACAACCTCACCGACTAACTCTTCTGTCCTGCCCAGTACCTTTCATTTAACCTCTACATTTCTCATATGGTGATTCCATCATATGGAAGCAATGCTACGAAGACTTGTGTTCAAAAACCCGTAGTCTCTCCACATCTAATTCCAGCGTCCACGTTTCGCAACTGGATAACAGGACAGAAGGAACTGCAATGCAGAACTTCAACACAAAATTAATTCGTAATGACATGCTTAAACCTAGAAAATAAACCCACCCACCAGTTCCATCGCCAAACATCGACCTGGATAAAACGTTTGAACATCCTTATCCCATGCTGTTTAAGTCCTTAATACCTGGATGGTAAACTTTCTGCTGTTCCTTACAATACTGCTTTTTCTGTGCACACCTGGTTGCTCAACTAGGTTAAGGCAGAAATGGAATGTGACTACATCGTGGGTTATGGCTAAACCTAAAATCCAGAGATAATGGAAGTAAGTACTTTGTCAGTCATTTTACGCTGATTCCCGACCCAAAAATTTCCAGATATTCGTACTGTCTAGAAGTTGGTAAACGAGCGGCTTTACTAAACTGTCTTCGTGATACTTAGTACATAAGTGTTATAACTATAGTTATGACCCAGGATACAATTATAACATATTAACAATAGTCTGTTGACTATTATTCAAACTCCATAAAGCGCAAAATATAACCAACAAGGAGCTAGCAAGTCGTAATGACTTATAAAACAGAAAACATTCTGCCTCATTTTCCCAGGAAAATGTTACAAGCTTGTAACAAAAAAGAACAGAAAATATTTATGCCTTTGTATTCCAATCGATAAATTACTTCAAAATAGTTAGAAGCAAAATTTAAAAGCTTTAACCGGTACACACATTTATTTCTCAGATGCCTAGACAATATCTGAACTTATAACAACTACCTTTCGTAAAGTAAACCGCGTAAACCGCGGGTTCACTACCTCTCTTCAAACTTCAAACTTAGTGTTGCTAGATTAGTGAATGACAGTTCCTTGAGTTCTACGTCTGTCTTGTTGCAGTACGTTCTAGATTTGCGATGGTCAAAATTGTCTTTCTGGTTTCGAAAAACCTGAAACGACAGCTATGATCCAATACCCAATATTGATAGTGCGAGCGTAGAAAACTGATCGTTTTTGATCTCTCGCGTCTAGTCCTTAGGGCTTGGTTCGAGTTGTTCGGTTCACTCCTGCAGTGGACCAGGAAATTCCCTCTGCTTCCTTGCTTTTAGCATTGGTGAGGTGGATGTTCTTTGGGTTTAGTAAGTTGTAATTTATAAAGTGATTGGGGAGCCGCCGGTTGCTAGGACGTTTCAAACTTCGTGTGGCAGAATTAGCGAAATGCGGTTCTTTGGGTTCTACGTCTGTCTTATTGGAATACGTTCTGAGTTTGGAATGGTCACAATTATCTTCCCGGTTCTGAAAAACCTGAAAGAATAGAGATACGATTAATTAATTAATCTGGTCTCAAGTTCGTATTACTGCATCTGATCTGGGGAAAGCTTCTCGAGTATAGCCCATCGGTGCCGTAGGACTCGAGGTGTGCGTCTAGCCTCCTTTTAAAGGTATCAGGGGATGGGACTGTAACAACTGCTGAAGGGAGGGAATTCCACAGTTTACAGACTCTGAGTGCAAATGAGTTAGCACCGATCCTTGTACATGCTCTCATGCTTTATTCTTAACGGGTGACCCTCAAGTCGCGTTTCCGACCAAGGCTTAGAAGGGATCTGTTGGGATGGAGGGGATTATGGGCGATGTGGTACATCATTATCATATCCCCTCTGATCCTCCCGTGTTGTACTGGGTGCAGCTGAAGAGCAGCTAAGCGGTCCGGGAACGGTTTTTGTTGTAACTCAATCACTTTCTTTGTAGCTCTTCTCTGTACCCGTTCTAGGATGGCAATATCCCTTTCAAGTATGGGGACATTACAAGCGAATTTTTCTCCAAATGAGGATGAATGTACAGAGCATGCACTGTGGTGAAAAGAGAAGGAGTTGGACACCCTGAGGTTCGCAAAGCGACAGTGAACTGAGGCTCCTAGTGCATCATCTAGTGTAACTCCCAGATCTTGTTCCATGTTAGAGTGACAGATATCTGTTTCACCTAGAGAGTAAGAACTGGGACTAATTTTATGTTTGTCAACTATCATAATTCGACACTTCTTCGAGTCGAGAGGAAGCAGGTTTTCTGTAGTCCAACCAGGGATTTCCGTAAGGTTCTCCTAGAAGATCGAAATATCCGTTGGTTCCTGTATTCCCCTCCAGATCTCCAGATCATCGGCATATAATGGTGAATGTGAATTAAGGACCCCTGGTAAGTCATTGATAAGAGCAAGAAACAGTAGTGGGTCCAGTATGGAACCTTGAGGCACACCACCCAGCATCGGGAACCAGTCAGATAGAGTGGAGCCGACTCCGACTGCACCCTGTTGTACAGATAATCTCTAAGCCAGATTAATAATTTTCCGTGTACACCCATGAGCTGGAGTTTCTTATGCAGGATATCATGATTTACCCTATCAAGGGCCTCAGAAAAGTCAAGTAAACCAATGTGTATAGGCTTCTTCTTCTCGACAGAGAGTGTCCTGCCATTTCAAGCTATCAACAAGTTGGTAATACATGGCCTTTCTGGTAAAAAACCATGCTGACGGTCGTTTAGGATTGATTTCTGAAGTAAGTGATCACGTGGTGAGTCATTTATGACTCTCTCCATGACCTTCGCAACTGAAGAGACCAGGGAGATTGGTCTTTATTTGGAGGCGAGTAGTTTGTTTCCACCCTTATAAAATGTGACGACAGCCACCCGTTTCCAATCAGAGGGCAACCTGCCTTCCAGAAACGAGCATTTGAAGAGGTTTGCTAGTGGGGCACACGGGACTTCGGCATACTCCTTGAGTGCTGTTGGGTGAATACCATCGATTCCTGGAGACTTATTCGGGTTCAGTTTCTTTAATATTTCCATAATTATGAAGGGTTTAAACTCTATATGATTTAGTCCCTCTGTGATACGGGTGTCCGACAGAGGTGGGGTTTTGCCTCCCAAATGACAGTTGCTTTGGAACTCATGGGCTGGTAGGTTCGCAAATTCGGAGTTGGGGGACTGTCGTGGCCCCTGTCTGTGTATGTACCTGAAAGAGAGTAGTGAGGTAGTGGCAAAAGAATGAAGAAGAAAAGAGAAAATATGGGAAGGGTAAAAGGAAAGGAAAGAAAGGAAAGGAAGAAAAGGAGGGGTATAAAGAGAAACAAAAGGGAGAGTAAAGCCTGTGGGGGTTGGCGAGTGGTAGCGTGGGTTCAGTTCCCACAGAGGAATTAGTTGGTAGTATGGGTATCTTAAGCGGCGGGATAGTGAGTGGTGGGTAGGAGGGAGTTGGGAGCTAGTGAGGCTGGTGACTACCTGAGTACTTTCGCGATAGACCATGCGAGGTGACATAACTGCCTAACCGTCTGTTGAATGAGTCGACTGAGGGAGTTATAACGATATCTCACTGTAAGGCATCCCATAAAGCACATACTTTCGGGGTGAAAAAATTGGACCTGAGTATGGTGTTGGCTGTCTGGATCGCTGTCTCAATAGGGCTTCCTCGTGAAGATCGTTGAGTTGCAGGCAAAACTGATTTGTTTGGGTGGTCTGCCTGATGGACTATCTTGTATACCCTGATAAGGTCACCCACCTTCCTACGATAACTTGAGGTAAATAGGTTTGGGTGTTTAGGCCTTTCAGAATACATCTTTCCCCTCAGCCCCACAACCGATTTTGCTTCAGTTCTCTGTGTTTTTTCAAAGAGGTTAGAGTCTCCCTTGAGCGTTGGGGGGCCACCGTACTGAAGACCTCTAGATGCGACCGCACGTAGGATTTGAAAATGATGAGTTCGCCAAGCTGTCTAGACAGGAAGTGTAGAATGGTGGTAGCTCTGGCTGTCGTACCCTTGTAGTTGGAGCTGGTGTTCAAGGTGTCGGAGAAGTTGAGCCCCAAATCTTTCTCCATGGACACTGGTGATAGCACGGTCGCTCAGCATGTACTAGGAGTCGGTCGTACTTGCTTCATATTTACTGATATGCATTACCTCGCCCTTTTCCAGGTTGAAGCTCAGGCCATTTTTCGATGACGAGAGTTCTAGTTGCTGCAAGTCCTCTTGTAGTTCCTTACAGTCAGCTCCTCCGTTTACCACCCTCCAAATTTTAATGTCTCCAGAGAAGAGGAGGATGGGTGAGGATATTTTGCCTGGCAGATCGTTGACAAACAGAACGAACAGAAGTGGTCATAGGATTGATCCTTGGGATACTCCTGACATCGACGATCTCGACTCCGACCTTATTCCGTTTACTCTGGTGCTGAACTGCCTCCCTTCTAGGCACTCCTTAAACCGAAGGAGTAGGGGCTCACTTATACCAGCTGGCGTGATCTTATGAGGCAGGACTGTGGGTGGGACACTGTCAAATGCTTTGGCTAGGTCGAGAAATACAGCATGTACCGGTTTTCTGTCATCCCAGCTTAGTGTCCAGTCGTCCTAGGTGGTTGGTACGTTGGTGGCACACGAGCAACCACTCCAAAAACCATGCTGAGCAGTATGCATGGCGTTTTCCTTATTCAGGAATTCCCAGATAGTGTCAGCTACCAGGCTTTCCAACACTTTCGACACTATGAGGAGTACAGCAATTGGCCTGCAGCTGCCAAGATACTTTCTGTCTCCTCCCTTGAAGATCGGTGACAAGATGGAGCTCTTTTTCTGTTCGTTAGGGAGTTTGCACGACTCTACCTAGTACTCAGAGAGGTTGTAGAGTGGTTTTGTAAGCGTCTCGGATCAGTTTTTTAGGACAATCGGTTTTAGGTTTTCTCAGCCAGGGGACTCGCCTGGAGGTAGCCTAGATAGTTTCTCGAACACTTTTTTTATCTGTGATTGAGATGTGGTTGACTTCCTTCCCGACATGAAGCGGCACAGGTTTTTGGGATTGCTTTGTGACCTCTCCACCAGGTTTGTTTGAAAGTAGAATCTGTCGCTACGCATTCTAATGTCACACCGGTTGTGAATCCTTTTGTGATAACAAATAAATAAATGTTTTTGTTCCCAAGTTTTGAAGTTAACATGAGAGAAGCCAGTTTACAGGCCTCACCAAATAGATAATTGCAGGGAAACACGAAAGGTTTTAGCAGTATTGAATGATACAGAGGGGGGACATTAAATTCTATCATGATACCAAGTGTCTAAATGCCATGAAAATAGCAGGAAAATATCACTTTACGGTACACACACATCGTTCTGAGTTTAAATAATTTCTGCTCACAGTTCTTTCTTTTCATCAAATGGCGCAATATTCAGTGTTTGTGTTGTGAGTAGTCGACATGATTGACCTATCTACAAGACCAAGTGTTTCGTCAGATAAACGTCTATTTTAACAGCGATTCTTATGTTCGTGGAGTTATTGACCAATAATAACTTACTTCAGTGATTTCAGGAATCAGTAAGTATCCATGCAAAAATTTAATCCAGGCGAATGTTTAAGTTCAGGCGTTTCTCACTCTTCAAATGTTACCTTTTTCAGTAATTCAGATTGGTAGTAGTGAAAACATTTGTTGTGGTGCAAGTAATTAAAGAATGGAAGAGTCGTCGTTCAACAGTGGTGAATATTACACACGTGTAAAACTTCATAGACTTAAGTCTATGAATTCACATTAAAGTATGCAACGTTGTCAGGGAGATACATTGGCTGTTAATTAACTTCTATTAGGTGGATTGATACAAGACAAAGTACTAGAGGAATCCATTGCATGGCATTATTATGGATGTGTTGTCGTTAGGTAAAGTGAACTCTTGGGTCGGATTGTCTATCCAGATTTCCGCTGCATTTGTCACGGACCAGAAATCTGAGACGAGTTATTGTGCTTGGGGTTTCGTATGTGGTGGCACTTAGGGTACTGGTGGGAAGGTGGG